CTGAAAACTGGGCGCCATGCCGAGGTTGATGATCATGTACTAGTCGACGCATCAGTCGCGAGGACGGATTTGCGGTCCGTAGCACTCACCATGGGCTCCTCCGAGATTAATCTGCCGCTCATATCGATTTCAGAGTCGCCGCCAATACTCGCGGCCGTGAGCGTCCAGGTCTTCTCTCCATTCACGAACCACGTCATGTACCCGTCGTCGCGGTTGTCCGGGTCGCTATACCACTCCACGCCGTACGTCGTGAAAGAGCCCGAGTACGAGTCGTCCGGCACGTACGTCAGCGCGCTCACGGCCTGCTGCCACTGCCCGCCCTTGTACGTGTTGAACTCGGTGAGGCTGTCGTCGTAGATCGTCGTCACGGACGAGTCGTTGTTAAATTGGTACTCCTGGTTGAACGGCGCGATTTGATAAGACTGCGACACCTGCCCGCGCCAGACGGAGACGTCGATCTGCGCCTCGATGAGGTCGATCTCGGGCACGCCACGGCCGTAGGTGACGTCGGGCCCTGGGTGGTCGCTCCCCGAGCAGGTGCACGCGGATACACGCTGGCCGGGGAGGAAGCTGAGAGGGCTGCCCGAGTTTGCGGTCGACACGTCGGGAACGCCGTCCTTGCCGGTTTGGTTCGGGAATGTGCCGGCGTCGCACGAGTCGTAGCTGTACGGCCACATCCCTTCGGTGGTGGCACCGTACCCGGCGCGGCCGAGATTACCCATCGTCCACGCGCCGGGCCAGAACCCAGGTGTCTCGGGGCTGCCGGGGAGAGACACGCGCATCTCGATGTACCCGGTCGTGAAGCAGACCTTGTTCCACGACTGCAGCATGCCGCTCACGAAGTTGAGGTTCTTCTCCTCCTCCATAGTCATAGTAATCACGAGGTTGCCATCTTGCGTGGTAATGGCCTGTCAAGCGCGTGAGATGAAGACGAAACGGGCGGGGAAGGATGCCGGACCTTAGGGTCATACCATTCAATGTCACCGGTAGGCCAGTACTGAAGATCCACGGCCTCCCAGTACGGGTCGTCTCCTGCGTTGAAGGTCCGGTAATCCTGTTCGAACTCGTCGCTAAACACGAGGTTGTACTGGTGTCCGTCTGTGCCGGTGCGACTTTGTGCGTCATCTGGCGTGTCCCCATCGACAAGCAGCTTCATGTTGAGGTCCGGCACTTGACCACTTCCATTTATGCCGCCCTGTGAGAGAATGTGAGGCGGATTCTCACTGCGCATGTGCTGGCACGCACCAGATTGTATCCACTGTACGCCACCCGGGGGTGTCCAAATTCGTAGTACATGGGATATCCCAAGAACAGCATGAGCAGGCCGCACACCAGGATGAGGAGGGCACCAAAGTTGACCCATCCTCGACTTGAGAAGATCGTGAAGTCGAAATAGTCCCGTCGCGAATCGGGGTTGTGCAAGGCGTCGTCGATCTCGGGATCTTTTTCCCAGAGATATTGAGGAACCGTGTTCGTTGTGTTCATGGGTACGGGGGCGACCACTGCGGCTTTCTCTCGCGGTCGTGGTGGTGGAGGTGCTTCCGCGGTGTATCCGTTCGTGAAGCGTGAAGTAGTGTGGCCATTTCCGTTTCCGTTCCCGTTAGCATAAGCAGCACCATTGGCATAACCGTTCCCCCGAGGAGTCTGTTCAACCGCTGGAGGCGCATACTGTCTGGAGGTCAATACCTCGCGACGCTGGTGCTCTAAGAGTCACGCACCGCATACGGGCCATATCCTCCGCCAATAGCGCCCGTCGCGACGCCCTGGGCGATCGCTCCCCTCCCGTTCGTTGCTCTATAAGCACTGCTGCCAGAGGGTGTCCGGGAGTGCGACGGCGCCCTTTCATATTGATGCGTCCGTGAGCTCGTTGCTGGTTGTCGTGAGGACGTCGCGTGTGTTCGTGAACTCGTAGCTTGTGTTCGTGAGCTCGTAGGTTGTGTTCGTGAGCCCGAGGCCTGTCGGGCGGGCTCGCCTGGGGGACGGCGCCATACTCCTGGGGGCTGCGCGACGCGTGCGTCCTTCGTGGCTGGCGGGACATGATGGGTAAGATCAACCTGCAATTGTCTCCCAGTCGCGCGGGGTACCGCCTCGCGCACATGCGGCACAAGGCGCGGTGGCTGTGCGGCAACTCTATTCATTTCGGTGATTGCCGGTGCAATGTTGAACTTAACGATAGCGCTATTTACTAGCTGCGATATACAAGTTGTACCTAGTTTGTAGCATGCTAGGTTAGCTTGTACTCACTGCTTGTCTTTGTAATGGAGTTACTCTGAATATCTACCGCAGACGCGCCTTGACAACGCCCATAAATCATGCAGTATCACGTGCCTTCAACCAACCGAACCGGGCCGGTCTCCGACCTCCAAAGGCGGGCAACATCGCCCGTACTTACTTACCCAAGCTCAACTTGCGATCCAACCACACAAGTCGTCCTTTCACGCCACAGAGCAAGTCAAAGATATACAGGTACGCACAAGCGCCAACTACATCGCTGGCTTCATCATATTCCACTCATTCAACCACTCCGTCACGAACGCGATCATCTCTTCATGGATCTGCTGGATCTCGGGCGGCTCCTGCGTCAAGTCGGCGTACCCGTACTCGTCATAATGGTGCACCGCGCCTGTGAGGCCGACATCAGCTAAGTAGGTAGCGCGAGACGCACGGCATCAGACCTACCAGGTATTAGCTTTGAAAGGTCTGGTGGTCGTATCCTCACGAGCCTTTGCGTCAAGGGAATGAGGCGTGTCCGGACGCCAAGGATCGACTGAGGAGACGATGAATAACTCTCGGACGTTTCGACGATCAACAAATAGTCTTACCCTCCCCGTCAATAATTGCCAACCGGTCCGCCGTGATATCATACCCGCCTAGCGCATTGACTGCCGTAATATTGGGCTGCGACGGCACCGTGAAGTAGTCGCCGGGCGGGTACGCCAGGTCGCATATCTTGGACTCCGTCTCGAGGGTGATGAAGGAGGATATGATGCGCGGTTGGTCCGGATCTGTCGGAGCGACGTTGAAGAAGCCCCATTGTGTGCAGACCTGAAATTGCCAGAGCCGCCAGTCCTGGTCCAAGGACGTCGCTGTGTATGCCGAGGCGTCGTAGGATCCGAAGCACTAGAAAGAGGCGAGTTCAGCATTTTTGTGACTCAAAGAGAGCAACACTCACGTCCTCGATGGTGTAGTTGCCCGGGCAGCGCCCGGCCACATATGACTGACACAGGAGGTCAGCGAGTTCACCAAGGAAGTGAAAAAAAAATTAGCACCTCATTGACATAACTCGCGTAATTCTGCAGAACGTAGTCCACCTTCAGGCTATCCGTCACATTGACGGACCGCCTCGGGTCGCCGTACGCGGCGTCACCGAATCCGTCCAACGGCGCCTCGACCAACGCCTCACAGAAATTGTTAAACGCGTCGCTTCCGCAATCAGAGTTCCAGCACTTCGACTGCCACTCAAATATCGGGTTGCGGATAATCGAGCCAAAGTCGTCGTTATGCTGCAGCCCCTGCAGCCCGAAGAGCGCCTTGAGGTCCTCCGCCGCCTGCCCGCCTTCCCCGAGGACGCTGTCGATGGTCTGGATGGAGTTCTGCAGGCCCTCGGAGCAGTTGGCGGGCGCGGCCTTGCGGATTGTGTTCATGTACTCCCAGTCCTCGAGGATGGCGTGCGTGACGCCTGTATGAGCATCAGCGGGTGAGCAGCACGCTGGGGAAGCCTGGTCATACCACTGGATGCGATGGCACCGTACACAAGGTCTGGGTAGAGCACCCGCATGTGCGCGGCACGAGCACCCGCGTAGGAACCCTTGTTAAGTTCTTGAATGAGTGAAGCAGCTCTTTACTAGGATAGACGTACCCCGTAATAAATCCACGGCGTTCCAGGCGCCGTCAGATCCTCGTCAATACCGTCGAACTTGACGTTGGCCATAAAGTGCGCGCTGTCTGCGGCACTCTGCTCATTGTTGAGGAACCGCAGCGAGTCTGTCGTGAGATTCTGTACAGGCTGGGTCTCGCCTGGAAATTCGAGTGAGCACGTTCGGCGCATTCAGAAGGACGACACGAAATACTCGCCATAGTACCGATGCTCCAGGATTACTCCGACACCACCAGTGGCCCGCGTCAGAATTTCGACTATACCGGTGTCGAGGAAAGGCAGTCGACCCTGTTCCGCAATCAGACATTTGTCCGCCTGTGCATTCATGCAGAACAACAAACCTCTCCGCTTGTCTCCCCTCCATCCAGCACGATGACTGGGCCACCAGCACCAGGCGTATAGTGTCTCGTGCTAAACCAGTACCGCTGGAGGAACGTGTCGCCAGTCTCGTTGTTGAAGTGGTCCAGCGGCTGCTCGAACCACTGCTCCGGGAATTCTTCATACTGACGGGTCTGGACGGGTTGATGTTGTTCATATGACCCCGTCTCCGCGTTAAGCTTGCGGAGCTTAGCCTCTTGATACCCGTGAGCGAGCTGGAAACTGGCGCTTGCTACGCCGGTAAGCGTGAGAGACAGCGCTAGCAGCAGCTGAGGGAGCATGGTGTACAGGAGGGAACACGGTACTGAGGCCGTCTTCGTGGCCGTGTTGACTTATATAGGTCGCACTATCAGAAGCACTCAATTGCCATGCTGCAAGGGCTGCCCGTCACGCGCTCTCGATGCAAGGGCAAGCGTCGAAGCCAAGAACGACGGCCGGATGAGGTGATCTATGCAAATGAGAATAGCAAGTAGGCAGATGGAGCAAGAGATGGATCCAGACCACTCACTTCGGCCCTCTAAACATATATAGAGTGTAGAACGTGTTGAGCAACGCGTCGGAGCCTGAACAAAAACACGGATGCCGGAAAAGGCTACAGTAGTTGGCGCACCCGGTCAAGTCCTCCGAAAGTTATGATTGAAAAAGCCAGGATCTTCGGTGGATGAGATGCGATATTTAAGACGTCTGGACCATCTTCTGCATGCTTTATGGCCTTCAGATGAACAAAAAGAAATCAGCGACAAAACGACACCAGCAGGATTCGAACCTGCGCCCTCAAAGAGGAAGAGATACAGGTTCGAGTCCTGCAGACCATATTCGAATCTCTCGCGTTAACCACTCCGCCATGGTGCCATGAAATTGTAGCGACATCTAGCGTAACAAAGCTGCGTTGACCGTCTGTTGCAGACGCGCAGATGGAAAGCCAGTTCTCTTGAACGGTCAGATTTATGACTATCGGCTTGTGATAAGAACACACACCGGGTAGCTTAGAGTAGAAAAAGTCAGTACAAATCTGGGGAATTGATATGCACTGCAGAGCTATCATCGGATAGGCCAAGAGCGCAAGTACTTAACTTAGAACTTGAAGTACTGTTGACTACGGGTCGTTAAGGCGCAGGTTCGAATCCTGTCAACCAGCACCAGGTCGGCAAGAGTGAGGACATATAGGGCGCAGGTTCGAATCCTGTCCGCACTTCCGTCAGGTCTTGCAACCTAAGGCGCAGGTTCGAGTCCTGCTGGCTTGCGGTTGAGTCTGTGGATGAGGTCAAATTTGGAACGCATCCGTCCGAAAGGCCAACGCACCGCAAGAGTCGCCCACTTCTGAGCACTTCGGTCATGCTCCCACAGAAGATCAGTATTAAAATATATTGTTGCGACCAAAATGCATTACTGAATGAACTACTGCAGTCCCGATGCGTCGCGTTCGCGGATCCTATCGTGACTCACGTGTGGTGTTCCACTCCTTCAGCCACTCAGTCACGAAGATGACCATCTCTCCGTGTATTTGTTGGATCTCCACAGGCTCCTCCCAGATGTTGAGGTAGCCGTATTCGTCGTAATGGTGTACCGCATCTGCCACGCGAGGTCAGCACATTCACCAGAAGGGTCGAGTGAATCAACAGCGTACTCGGTATCAACTTGAACGGCTGCGAAATCGTGTCTTCGCGGTCGTTGGCGTCTTCCGAGTGAGGTGTGTCCGGTCGCCAAGGATCCACTGAGCGACGCGTCAGTCCCTCGACCGTCGTATCATTTGCCACAAAAGCTCACCCTCGCCATCAATGATAGCCAGCCTATCCATCGCAATGTCGAAGTCGCCCAACACATTCACGGCGGTCACGTTCGGCATGCTGGGCACAGTAAAGTGCTTGCCGGGAGGGAAGGCCTGCGCACAGATCTTAGCCTCGTGCTCGAGAGTGATGAGCTTAGACAGGATGCGCGGGTGCGCTGGGTCGGGTGGGGCGGTCTGCCCAGGCGTCAGAAGGGTATAAGGTTGTATCCTGTGAGTACGCACGGTGAAGTAGCCCCACTGCGTGCAGACCTGGAAAAGCCAGAGTCTCCAATCCTGGTCAAGGTCGGTAGCGATGTATTGCGAGTCGTCATATGTGCCGAAGCACTATCCAGGTGTCAGGGGCGTTGCCAAACGCACAACAGAGGAAGGAAAAGCATACCTCGTCAACGGTCATCGGATCTGTGCAGCGTGAGACGACGTTCTACAAGAAAATCAGCTACCTCGTCCAATTTTACGACTGCATATATGCGCACCTCCCGGATGTACTTCGCATAATTCAACAAGGAAAAATCCAGCGTCAACCCGTCGCCCACATCAAACATCCTCCTCTCATCACCGTACTCCAGCGCAGACAGGGCCCCAATGGGCGGCTTTGACAACGCGTCGCAGAAGTTGTCGAACGCGTTGCTCCCGAACTTCGGATCCCAGCACTTCGCCTGCCAGTACCCAAGGGGCGATGACAGTACAGACGCAAAGTCGTCGTCGTGCTCAAGACCTGCGAGACCGAACAGGGCTTTCAACGCGCGCGCGGGAAGGCCGCCGTGTGCGAGGATAGCGTCGACAGTCTGGATGGAGCTTTCCAAGTGGCGAGAGCAGTCCTCAGGCGCGGCACGCCGGATGACCTCCATGTATTGCCAGTTGGTGATGTCCGCGTGGGTGACCGCTATGAAGGGTCAATGATTGCATTAACCGAGAGCTGGGGGGCACAAACCACTGGACGCGATGGCTCCGAACACGAGGTCGGGGTACAACACGCGCATGTGTGCTGCACGCGCGCCTGCGTATGAGCCCTGCGCTTTGTCAGGAGTGAACAAGGTGGTATGTATGTGAGACGGAACGCACGCCGTAGTAGATCCAGGGTGTTCCGGGGGCGGTGAGGTCTTCGTCGATGCCCTCGAACTTGACGTTCGCCATGAAGCGTGCGCTGTCGGCCGCACTCTGCTCATTGGTCAAGAATCGGAGGGAGTCCGTGGTCAGGTTCTGGACGGGCTGCGTCTCCCCTTGCGCATGTCAATACCATCAATATGGGCCAGGCAATGGTGTACACACCATAGTACCGGTGTTCCAAGACCACGCCTACGCCGCCCGTGGCACGCGTCAGGATCTCGACTATTCCCGTGTCAAGGAACGGTATCCTGCCCTACAGTTTTCAGATGAGCGATAAAGCATCAAATAGCACGCATACACGCACTTCGCCGCTGGTCTCCCCTCCGTCCAGTACAATGACCGGCGCATTCGTCCCAGGCAAGTAATGCCTCTTGTTCACCCAGTACCGCTGCCCGAACGTGTCTCCTGTTTCATTGTTGAAGTGGTCCAGAGGTTGCTCGAACCACTGAGCCGGGAACTCCTCATACTTCTGGGTGAGCGGCTGCTGCTGGCCGTATAGGGACGCGTCCTGAGCTGACTTCCAGCGCGCTGCTTGCGCGTCCAACTTGATCAGATTAACGCCTTGAGGACCGAGAGCGCTTATGAGCCCAGCATTGTGCGCTGCAGATACGCCGCAGAAGACAGTCAGAAAGAGCAAGCTGAGAGGGACGACCATAACGAGGTGTCGGTCAGGACCCCGGGCAATACGCCTACATGTCCGATCCTTGTGCGCCGGATTGGACCCCCAGAAACCGCCGAGGCCCGATCCCAATGTGCCGGATAGGTCAGTTTGCGTGCCGAAGGTCTGATCCAACGTGCGCCGCGTGAGAGCGTCGAGAGCCAGGTTCGATCCATAATGCGACGGTCTTCGGGGATTCCGGCTGCTTCTCGCTACGCCAGACCAACAATGGGTGGGCGCAACCCTTCCGCGGCAAAGGTCCAGGGCTTGGGGTGACCCGTCGCTGGCCATGTCCGATCCATAGTGCGACGGAATTTGGCTGGAAAGTGCGTGTCCGATCTCAATGTGACTGAAAGACCCCCAAAGTGGCAAAAAACCGTGCGACGGGAATGTCCAAAAAGCCGCCTTTTTGGATCGGACCTCTTGGCGCATTGCCCGGGGTCCTGGTGTCGGTCTCGGTCAAGCGGGCAAGCGTGACGACGCGCCATGTCACCCCGCCGAATGTCACAGTGCATTGCCGCGGACTCACAAACGTCGACGATTCCTATAAGTGCATAGAGAAAATACATAACAATAAGCATCATACATACTCTCGACGGAGTGGCTCATGCTGGACATAACTTGCCCGCCACCTCCTCTACCAGACTCCTGACGTCTTTCTTCGCAATACCGTCCTCTCCGCACCCACCCTTCTCCAGCTTGCCCAAGAGGATGCTCTTCGCCTGCAGCACTTCCAGCATCGGAAGCACCTGATCCTCATAGAACGGTGACAACCTCAACAGGAACGCCAGACACGCCGTCAACCGATGCACTGTCACAAACACGTCAATACCCGGTTACACCCCCAATCGAACGAGATACTCACCGACGTCCTCCGAAGCGCGCTCCTTATCCAGCGCCTCAATTACCGCGCTCACCATCTCGATTTCCCAGTCCTCGTCTTCTCCATCCGCGTACCCACCCCCGCCCAAGCGCACGCTCTCCACGCGCGCCTTCTGCAGAGCCGCTGCCGCGTTGAACGCCACACTCGCGGCTGCTGTGCGCACCCCGGCGTGATCGTGCAGCAACGCAGGCACCAGCACGCCGGTGAGCTCCGTCCTCGCTGCGCCGCTCAGCAGGGTCCGCGCGAGCGTCGCGTGTGCGAACGAGTTGGCCAGAAGACGCAGAACGGTGAGCACTAGGCTTCGCGCCGACGTATCGCGGTGATACGCACGGAGGAGGATGGTGATGGGATTAGACGCGCCCGAGGCAATGCCGCTAGCACACCATGCACCCGCGGCGGGGTCCAGCACGGCCAAGCGCCAGAGGTCCGCGAGCGGGAAGAGCGCTTCGGCTGGCAGAGCAGATGCGAGCGCATGCGTAGCTGACGTCCAGGCTCCCAAAGCGGCGGGCTGAGCGGCAGGTTTTCCCGTTGCTGATGGGGCGTCGGCAGCGGGATAGCGCTGCTTCAGATACGCAAGCATTGTGCCGAGGGCCTGTGTTGCTTGGTCCAGGGACGCAGGGGCGTCAGCAGGCCAGGGCGTTGCCTTGATATTTGACGAGAGTTTGTTGAACACGGTGTCAAGGGCGGGCACTTGTGTAAACAGGATTGGGTTGAGAGACAAGGCTTGAACGGCGGGAGCGTCTAGCTTTGTGTGCGGGTGTGCTGCGTATTCCGTCAGTAACTTGAGCACAAAGGCGTCTGGCAAAACATACGAGGGTAAGCTTGGTATAACAGCAGGTCAACCTCTGACCGGATCGCCGCCGCGTCCGCACCCTTCACTTCGCTGATCTGCAGCAGACTCGTCAGTACGCATGCACCATCTTTCCAGACAAACCTCCTCACCTTCTTCCCATCCAAAAAGAACAAAAACGTCGGCGTCGCGCGTATCCCGTACTCCGCTGCCAACGCGTTCCCCTGCCCCACCCGTATATCAATCGACGTGAACGCCGCGCCGCGTCCACTCATGCCCGCCCTCACCCCCTTCTCCTCCGCCAGCCGCTCGAACACCGGCGCGATCATTCGGCACGGCCCACACTGCTGGTCTGTGAAGTCCGCCACCACCGCCCGGTGCGTACGCAGCAAGTTGTGAAAGGAGGCAGGGTTCGTGCAGGGGTGCAACGGCGCGGTGAGGGTCTCGGTTGCGTGGAGTGGGTGTCCTGCTTGAGCGGAGGGCCCTTGTCCGCCGGCCGCCTGCGCCGCGACGGCTTGAAGTACGGATGCAGCGAGGGCAGGGTTGGACGCGAGGTCTGCGGAGGGGGCGGGGGCAGGTGCGGCGGGAGCACCAGGGACGGGCCGGCGGTACATGTTGTCGATCG